GGTTTCTGAGTCGACTTTTGTTGTGCCTTTGGCAGCTTACCCTTGTTGAAGATGCTAATGCAGCGAACATTCGCCCAGCAAATTGAGCGCTTGGGGTGTAGATGCCCCCAGTGTTTCATCCACCACTTGCAGCGATATACCTGAAGTATGTTTTGAAGCCCCTCCACAACCCACTGGACACTATACTCATCAAACGTGAGATGAAGGAATAGACATGCACACTATATGAGGGTGCCGCTAAAGTGCCCGTAGTCGTTTCACAAGTTTTCGTAAGGAAGGATGTCTGATCATCAAGCTTTGTCGGGGCTGCTCCAAGACCCAACCTCCGCACATTGCTGAGATCAGGGCCATAAGCAGTCCAGACCTGCCAGACATCACATTGAAACGGTTCATATAGAAAGGCTTTGACTTGTCGTGTCATTCACTCTCAATCTATATATGTGAGGCCGGCCTACCTACCATCTCATTGCCATCTTTTACGCATGGCAGTAGACAGTTTCCAAGCGGATCCAGCCAAGAGCGTAATGTGCTTCCACGACTGCATATTGACCATGTTGAGCATTTTGTGCCAAACCATGCCACAAACCCTTCAGGACTGCTTTCAAGAACTGCAAGAATGACCATCCTTAAATGTTAAAAAGCACCAATACTCCCCGCAAACGTGTGGACTCATGAACTCACAACAAATTATTGCAAACTGTTTGCCAACAAGACTCGCCATGCCTTTTGGGCTAAGAATATCCCACACTGTGCCCTCCCCAGACTTGAAGCCTTCCTCCTTAGCCATCTCAATATCAAGCTTCGTTGCCCGGTACCCACGCAAGGCCACGCACGAAGTTGCGCGGGCAGTCCCTGCAAATGCTTCAATGAATTGGTAATCCTAAGCGGCACTCAAGATACACGGGTGCTTACAAGCACTCGACTGCAAAAAACAGGTTCAGACTGGAATGCGTTATTCATTCGAAAGTATTTTGTGCATCCGAAAAGCTGGACTCAGTGTGGTTGCTGGCATGTCCAACCACAGAAGCAGCAGGACACACAACAGCAACTCCTCAACATGGCAATGAATAGTTCTGCTCTCTTTAGATTATAACTCCATGTACTTCGAACCATCATAGTCCGTCCTTGGGCATACCAAGGAAGCGAAGCCGACCAAAAAGCCGGCCCAGGTTGTCATTCGACCAACGAGGCAATGAACCCAGGGTCGGCATCAACCCCAATAGTGACAGGCTGCTGCTGAGTTTGCTTGATCACCCAAAAAAGCTACCACAGTCATCACAACTCACTTTCACTGTCGCTGCACGCGAAATGATAAATGTCAGGACGCTCTAATACCGGCAATAGCGGCACTGGGCACCATTTGCATTCGGTTTTCAGACCCTGAGAAACTGCAGTCATGAAAATCCAAGGATCAAACAATCTGCACATGAAGCTAAACACGCCGGCGGCACCAGGTGTTGGTAAAAGTCCTCTCTTCAAAAGGTTGCGCCCCTTGAGGGCCTGACACGGTTTTGACAATACCCATATACCTTTTTGTGAGCACGCTGTAGCGTGCAAACTGCCAAATGAAAGGTGGCCAACTTTGCAGCGATGAACATTGAACCCCCATTTCTTGGAATCTCTTGCTGCGCTCAAAATGCTGCTGCCTGCTCCCACTCACCGGTGCAAAAACAGGTGTGCAAATCGTGCGTTGCATAGTTAATGTTTCTTTGCATTTTTGCATCGATGCTATGTGGAAACAGACAACGTGCCCCAGCAACTGTATGCACGTTCTGCCATGCTACAGTTAACCCCCATTGCACACATTGATCCCTACATATTCTTCCAATGGTTCTTGAAAATCTCGCAAAGTTCATTTTGCATGTCGGGCGTTCCACGCCCCTGCAAACAATCTCTGAAGTAGTGGAAGCCATCAATCGCTTCCTCAAGCTCGGATTGCTCACTCACCCACAGGTGCGCCTACAAGGATACAACTTCTGGGATTGCGGGTAGTGGCAGGTGAACTACTTAGAACCATGTTGGAACTATGGTAGGCGACAGTCCTCAAAATTCCTCAAACATTATTGAATTGAACTGCTGCACAACGGTCCCTGTGGCCTTGTGCGACAAGAGCATGACTGCATCCTTCCAACGGTTCCTGACAAGGTTTCCGCAATAGGCCACCTGCACACATGAGCTGCGTTTCGAAGTGGTTGCATTGTAAGACCGTTCCTCGCCAACAGCACCCCAAAACAGAGAACATCCCTGGTGCCTGTTTCAGACCCTCGCCCTGATCGACTTGTAAGCCGATCGCAGCCCGGCTCCAATACATGACGATCTTCGCATAACCATCGAACTCAACATTCAACTCATGGATTGTGTTCTTGAGCTCCAAAGTGGATTCATCATGCTGGAACTTCGGTTTGGCCTCCGGTGTTTCTCCCATGCCAACGTTGGCAAAACAGAAAAAAAACAACTCAGACTCAAAACATTCAACAACGAAGCCTGCCTGTTTCTTTCCATTCTTTGTTGCAGGGCTGCTAGGTGTGGTCGCTGCCTTTACCTTTGCAAACTTTTTGCTGAGCTTCCTACGAACTGGGGAAGGCTTGGCATTTTGATCCAACGTGCTGAGAGCACTTTTTTTGCTTGGTTTTAGTTCCGTGGTGTCCGTGTTGACTTTCCTTTTGTTTTTCTGAGTTGGTGCTTCAGGTTCACGCTTTGAAGCTGACCCCGTTGGACCAGGTTTTGAAGCTGACCACGTTGGTGTGTTCTTCCGTTGTTTTTTCGATTTTCCTGTGCGCTTTCCACGTTTGTTTTTCTTCCCCTTTGCTTTTTGTGGCTGCTTTCCATGTTTGTTTTTTCCCTTTGCATTTTCTTGCTTCTTGGCAGCTTTGAGTGCCAATTGCTGCGTGCGGAGCAGAACCTGACAAAAAAGGTCAGCGCAGAGGAACAGCACCTACAGAAACAAATACCAGAATTTCAACTGCCACGAGAAGTGCATGAAGAGAAAAAGTCTCCTCGGGATCCTCCCCACTCGACTTGTTGTGGTAGGGCTGCGTCTCGTCGTTGTCATTCGCAAAAGGGAATCCTGCGAGGCAAAGAACTGAATGCGACTATAGTCACAACATTCTGTTTGCATGATTTTGCACGTTATGTTCAAACCCCACCTCTGTCCGCAGGAACAGTACCAGTTCCAGGGCAGCCACTGGACCTCAAATTAATGGTTGCGGTCAATGGCTTCCAAAAGACGTGCGTTTCAGACAAACGTCAAGTTTAGTCGGGCAGAGAATGGGATGCCCGACTCAAGCTCAGTGATGCGCTCAAGAAGCGCAGCATCAGAGAAACGATGAAATTCATGAGGATCCTGCCCTTCGTCCCCTGAAGATTCCACACACTCACATTCGTCAGAAGGAGGCACAACTTCAGGTGCCAAGTGCTCAAAGTCTGAAATTTGTTGTTCCAACTCCTTTGTTGTGAGAGCTGCCAGGCCAGTTGGCTTGGGCACAGGAACTTGTAAGATCCGCTCATGGAGACTGTCATCCTTTTTGGATAAGTCGGCATGGGCGTCCTCTCCCACGAGGTCGGTCTCCTGGCTCTCTTCTCCCTCAAGATCGTCCTTGAGCGTCTCAGTGATATAGTCTTCCTGCGGCCATTGCGAAATCATACAAAATTCCAATGCCCTGAACCCTCATGAACACAACAATTATGGGACAAATTCCTTCTCATGCACATCGAAAGGTCACCCAGCCTTCTTGCCAAACCACTGAACCATTTCCTGGAGCCGAGGGTCCTGGAGAGTTTGACCCTCATTGAACAGTGAAAAAAGGCTCGATCAGCTAAAAAATATCAAACTTTCGGTCCCGAGGAGAAGTGCCGCGATTGAACGCCCGCTTGAGGAACCGGACCATGCACTTGATGCTGGTGACAATGCAATAAATCTTGGTCTCAACATCTGAGTCGAGATGGAAAGAATCAATTGATTCAATTTCTTCAGTCACCTTCGCAGCAGATGCATCGCCTTTCTTGGCTGCCATTTTGGCATACAAGACCTTGATTTGGTCTTCCAGTTGTGGCTTTGTCGGCAGATCACAACAGCGTTGTTCCCGCATGCATCTTACCACGATTGAGAGGACTGATTTGTTCATCCAGCAATGCTCGATATCCATCGCTGCCAGCGGTTGGTCTTTCATGGTCCTGATCAATTTGGAGATGTTGAAATCTCCCAACCGGGCTCCAACCTCCGGGTCTTCCCAAAGGAAGGTTGCTAAGCCAGCAAGCGTCAGCATGGCAACACACAATGACACCTAAAATCCCTGGGCCAAAGCCTACCAGCAGGTGCAAAAACGTTTGATTGCCCACCACTGGCACGTGCACCCTCTTGCAAACAGTTTTTTGCACATACTGTAATGGTTCGTAAAGAAAAAACCTGCCTGTTTCTTCACCGGCATTGCCAGCCGCCATCAAGACAGATCTTGCCAACTATTCTGATCAACACAATCTATATAGAAATTTCTCTGCTCACAAAGACTTTCAAAACTCTTCAAAAAATGTATAGTGATTGAAAGCAAATGGCCTTGAAGTCGTTAAACTGCAATGATTTTGCAGAATGATGCTGGTTGTCTTCGTTTAGGCAGATACGGCCAAACATTCGGATATGAACGGAAAATGTGGTCATACGCCCAAATCCGGCCACAAAGGTTGAAGTGGACACAAAAAAGTGTCCATACGGGGTTGCAGGTATATATTTATATTTGACTTGTTGCTTTTTTTGCTCAATGTAGGATTTGGGACCAACATTGCATGTTAGTTGGCAAGAAGTCGCCATCAACGTTGCGTCAATGCGGCACGCATCATTGCCGATGGCCTGTGCAGAAGCTGATACCTTCCTGTATCAGATACAGAGTCAAACACTTTTGACTCGTTTTGGTTCGACCTGGTAGACGCGTTTTCCTTTGCACATTTCATCCATACAAATTAATATAGACACTGAGCACGGGCGACCGCTCGGGCGCTGGCGGTAGGATGTGCGGAACACGAGTATCGTGGCACCGGTCATTAAATGGATGTGCAACAACACGGCGGCGACGGTCTCTTGGCGCGGGAAACATCACTGGCAGACGCGAAAACAAAGCTTTTCAGATTTCAGCCTCTAATGTTGGATCTTAAGCAGTAAAAACCACGCCCCCAGCAAACAATCGAGGGAGTCTGAATAGAATCCTGGCCTTGCCACCAAAAGTGATAGCAGTAGTAGTAGTAGTGGTAGTAGTAGTAGTAGTAGTCTTGCTGTTGTATAGCTGTTGCTGCTGTTGCTCTTGGCATTTTTGTGGTGAATCATTGATCATGAATTCACATGATCTTTGACACATGATCTGTTTTATTCAGATCCACTTTAAAATATACTAAAGATCCCCGTCTGTACTCCCAGAATTGAATCCTGGGGGTCTAGTGC